TGGTATCAACATACTGCTATAGTAGTCATCGCCATTCTCATTGTCATCAGCAATATCCGCCTCAATATCCACGTTCCTAGTGGCCGTATAGGCTGGTGGTGAACTACGGTTACTGCTGTTTGTGCTGGTACTGTTTTGGTTGGTTGAACTCGAATAGAAGGTTGTATTCGATAGCAGATCGGATTTATCGTATGCATTCGCCGAGCTGATCAACAACGAATGGGCATAGAGAGGTGCTGATGAATGGTCGTCGTTTCGGGTGCAACAATCGAAATGCAGACGATTTCGGTGGTAGAATAAGGCAAATGATAATACGGAGATTAGGGTAAGTGCGCCAGCAACAATCACCAAAACCATGTGTATTCCACTCATAGATGAACATGATGAGGGCTGAAAGTAATCGATGTGATTTGGATTTGAAGAAAAGGATGTGGAAGGGAATGATTGAACGATAGGAACGAGTATATTACGTGGCAATAATGACAAGGATGAGGATATTGGTGAATACTGCGAACGAAATCAGAACTCGAGGCATGAATCCTTGAGTTATATTGAGTAGAATACATGGTTTAATCAGTTCAGAAAACAAAATATTTTATGAAAAATAATGTTTGTTTCAGAATGCAGTCACTATAAGCCACTCATGGTCAGGATCTTATAGATCTGACGTAATGATTTGATGCAAAATCGTGCAATTTGACAATAGCATTTCCTTACTCACCAATTCAACAATCAGCTTCAGCGCATATTCCTCTGGTGTAGCACACACCAAATCAGTCAAATTCAGGAACCGAGCCACCTCGGGTAAGAATGAAAGTTGTTCACAGTCACAGTGCCATGGATTACCGCTCAGATCAAGCGATTGTAACCTAAGATTTATACTGTTCTTTAAAAATATTTATGCATGAAGTGGGCAAAGAACAAGAAAATCACTGGAATGCTATTTTATACTAAACAAACCACTATAATAGTAAAAAATAATAATAATGACAATAAGAAGAGATATGAAAGAGCGATTAACTGAAACTGATCTCATGTTAAACGAAATATGGAATGTACCAAAACAAAAGCAATTCAAGGTTACTATCTTGACAGAGCATCGGTACGGTACATAGCAACAGTTAAAGAGATAACCTCGACCAATCAATAAGGACTGGTGACAAACGACGAATTTCGCACACACTGAGATCAAGTGATTTTAAGTTGAGAAGTGAATCGAATGCGTTCTCATCGATATGATGAAGTTTTGGGCAACGCGATAGATTGAGTCGTTCAAGATCTGGCAAATTCGAGAATGCGTACTCCTGAAAACATGATTAGTTGATTCGATACGTTAACTATTAGTCATTTCTCGCATTGTTTGATTCTCGATCTATTATTGTAAGAATTCAATTTACGTTTCTGTGCTATAATAATCATTGAAAAGTTTCATTCAGGTGTCTCAATTTGTGCTGCTTCAGTTTCAATTCTTTTCGAATCCAGCTTTTTAAATGTACGAGCAGGTGCAACGTACACAAACTCGGGAGTTAAAATGGCAGAAAAGTTTCTCCGTTAACTTGCGAAAGATATTTGATTTATGACAGATTTGCATTCCCTATAAACCTGCTTACAACAAATTTACATTTTCATCATCGAAACTCTTGCGCTGGACTTGAACCAATATTGATATATGGATATCAATAAGAACTACGATTTTGGAAAGACTTACTCGAATACTTCTCAAATTGTTCGAATGCGAAAGGTGAAGT